CACCCCAGCATACTTCCCATTTCTCCCGGGATTCCCTACTTCCTTTGTACAGATTGGGCAACTGTTGTCCCATTGCTCTCATATAATTGACTGTTCCATAGGACACACTTCTCTCGTGTTACTGTTTATTTTATTGGACTGTCTGTTGTTTGGCTGAAAGGTGGTGTTCCAGGTCAAAGGATGTCTCAGACCATAGTCTCTGGGGTTCCCAAGTCTCCGTCAGACCAGGAAATCTAGTCTTTTTTGTGAATTTGGTTTGTGCTACGTCTTTCTCTACTCTGTCTGTTGGGGTCCTAGTTAGAACAGCAGGTCGTGATAGCGTGGTCCTTTCCAGCTCTGGCTTTGGGGTGGTATTGGCTTTAGTCCATGTGGTCCACTAGCCCTCTGTACTAGTCGCTCCCTTGGATCTCTGGTTCTCATCACTCTCCTTGCTCCAGATGGGAAGAGACCAATTGTTGTTGTCTTTTATGTCGGCTCACAAGCTGTTATGTCCCCTGAGGCAACAGGCAGAATGTTGTCTTTATGAACCATGTGGTGCCAGTTACCCTAGATGTCCCTGAGTCTATGGTCCTTTACCTTCAAGCCTAAGAATATTGTCCCAGGAGGTGTTTGGTTATATCTGAGAAGTTTCCATGACTGTGCTCCTTGTGTGCCCTGTGTCTATATTACTATACATGTAGCACCTACAATTATGTACACTGATAGATCCACAAATAAACCTATATCTGCAGGTGGCTGTGCTCTCATATACCCCAGTCTACCTTTGAAGCCACTTGCAAATTATTCTTTATGAATACTATTGTTGCAGGATTGTCAATGTTATACTAATTATGATCCCAACTAAACCCAAACCCACTGCTATCGAGTTAATTCAGATTCATAGCAACTCTAAATAGGGTTTCCAAGACTGTAAATCTTTATGGGAGCGGCCTCAACTTTCTCCTGCAGAGACTGTTGGGCTTGAACTGCTGACCTTGTAATTAGCAGTCCAGCGTTTTCCCAACAGCTTCTTACTCTTTAAAAAAACACCAAATTCACTGCAATTGAGTGGATTCCCACTCTTGGCATTCCTGTATCAATTGATCTTATAGACCTGAGCCTACGTAGGTTTAACAGTATTAATGAAGTGAAACATAAGCCTTAATAGTAAGGGGAGGAAATATTAAAGAACCAGAGGATAGTTATGAGTTTCATCAGTGCTATACCACAGCCTGAATTCCTCACCCACCCACCCACACACACAGCCTCTCTGTGCAGGCCTGTCCAAGTGGCTTTCAGGTGAGTTTTGGGTCTCCACTATGCCCATATTCCTTCACCTTCATTTGATTACTTGTTTTTGAACTTTTGATATCTATTCCCGTCGATACCTTATGATCACACAGGCTGGTGTGCTTCTTCCATGTGGGCTTTGTTGGTTCCCTGCTCAATGGCCACTTGTTTGACTACAAGCCTTTAAGACCCCAGACACTATTTTTTTTTTAATAGCCGGACACCATCAGCTTTCTTCACCACATATGTTTATGCACCCATTTTGTCTTCAGTGATCATGTCAGGAAGGTGAGTGTCATACAGTGCTACTGTATTAGAACAAGCTATTCTTATACTTAGGTGAGATTTTAGTAGAGACCCAAGGTCCATCTGCTTCCTTGGTGAATTTACATATATGAACATGTTTAGACAAATACACTTATATTTATATAGTTACATATTTACATATATATCCATATTTATACCTACATATATAAATTTTTGCTTTCTTCTTAACTCTTTTTCTTTTATGCTTACCCCTTGTTCACCTCTCAGTAATTCCTCTCAGGCACTTTTTGATTGATCTAACCTGACGAGGAACACTACACCCTCCTCACTGTCAATTTTATAATCCTTATTATTCCCCTGTCCCTGTTCTCATTGGCTCACCACTCCCCTCCCCCTGCCTCCTCCTATCTCATGCCCCCACCCAAAAAACATCTGTCCCATGGCTGTTTCCATGGGGTTGCTTGTCCTGCCTATCTTTTTTTTTTTCTCTCCAAGAATTGGAGTATATCTTTTCTTTTCTTTTTTTTTTAAAAACATTTTATGTTTTTATACATACAACTGTTATCGCAATCCATACACACATCAATTGTGTAAAGCGCATTTGTACATCATTCTCAAAACATTTTCTCTCCACTTAAAACCCCT